CAGAAACTTGTGGAAGTGAATATTGAAAACTAAAAATAAATAAATTTATATTTAATTTTAAAAAAGCCTATAAAATAAATTCTACACTGTGCATTCAAAACAAAATTACCAAAAAAAAAAAAAAGAAGAAGAAGAAATTGGCCAGGACCATGTGGAGGTAAGACAATGGAGGGCTAGGCTAGGTTAAGGCTAACAGAGAATTGGGAGATTGGGCATAGGCCATAATGAAAAGCCAGTTGATAGGATCATAGCCTCAGGTGACTACTACAGAGTTCTTTAATCAAGTAAGAGAATCCAAAGAGAGTCCAAGCCTTAGGGCCGGAAGACAAATGGGACCCAGATTCTTTTTGGAGTAAGGGGCAAAGGTCTCTGCTTGGGCCAGTACCTCATCATTCCCCCTCAAACAAATGGGACCCAAATTATTTTGGGATAAGGGGTGAAGGTCTCAGCTTCTGAAACTGCTTCCTGCTGGCAAGGGGTATAGAGCTGTCCCTTCCTCACTGGGTCCCATTCGTGTGGTCAGATGTCAGAACCTGGCTGATGCCAGGTCCAGTGGCCTAGAGACGTTGGACAAAGTAACTCTTTATGTGTCTCTGTCCCATGTTGGTCAAGCCTCAAGGAGATGTCTGAAGGTATTTGGCTATGATGAATCTCTTTTGCTGGGCCAGAAAAGTCTGTGTGCTTGATAATATTTTCTCAGCCCCATCCTTCCTTTCCCACTCTGTGAATCAAGTAACTAATAAGATAGCGAGGATACATTAATTCACCCAAGGCCAAGGTATTCTTTGTTCTATCAGTATCAGATTTGTTCCATCAGTCATCTTCATTCCATCTGAAATTGTAGGATTTTTCGCCCGGGACCTTCCCCTATTCAACCAGTCTCCTCTCTCAATATCCTCCTCAGAAGATATCCCTTTATAATGATGATTTCATTTAAATAGTTCTTGAAGAATTACAATATACTTTATCAAAGTTATCTTATTTTCATCCTCATCACAATCCTTTTTATAATTTATTTTGTTTTTAATTTATGGAATTTCCATAACATAGTACATTAAAAAAGATGATTGCACATGAAACTGCAAATCCACTATGCACAACTTGCTATTCCTTTAAATATACAACAAAAACTATCATGTAAATTTATTTTTTCCTTTTTTTCTTCCCTACTCCTCCCTTGCCCTAGAGATGGCAACCGTTACACACACACATACACGCACACACACACACACAGACACACACACACACACACACGAAGCATTGTATAAATTGACAAGGGAGATAGACAGACTCAGAAACTCATCTGCTATGATTCCCAGGTGACTCTCTGACACCACACGTGATTTTCTACGCTGTGTGTATAAAATATGCATGTACACACACATATATACAACATGCATCTCTCTTACTTACTCATAGTTGTTTCACCAGCAAAGCTTGACCCTTATACCACTGTACTTGGAGTATCTCAGATCCTGAAAATAAGAAGAGATTTTGTGCCTCACCAATTCCTTTGCTAAGTGGTTGGGAAAACAATGCAATTAAAAGGTATTTTCTTATCTTTTAACTGTACTTTTGAGAGTAACTAGAAATAGGGGTAACCCCTATCAATACCCCAAACTCTAGGCTACCTTAAGCTGATCAGATCAATTATTTTCTTCCTTCTGGTTTTTTGATTTCCATCTCGAGAGAAGAAAAAAAATGTTATACACATAGGAGTTGTTTAATAATTTTTGTTGAATCATTCCTAATGTATCAATAATACTTCTGGAATATGAGGGTAGGGCACTAAGGTAATAGAAACTAGGGAAATCTTCTTCTATGGACACATTTATGGATATAGGTTTTCAGTTATTAGAGGGAGCATATTGCAGTGAATGGAGAAGCCAAGAAGACCTGGGTTTTTAAGGCCTGCCTCTGAGACTTACCGGTTCTGTAACAAATAGGACGTCATTGTACCTCTGAGTGCAAGTCAGAGATAGGTGTCAAACATGTTACCCACAGCTCCTGAGAGCAGCCTGAACCAGACAAATGTATATTTGGGAAATAAATAAAATGGAGATAATATTCCATTTTAAAACTAAGTCATTATGTAATCCATAATTATGTATGGATTAGTTGCCCCATTTCTATTTTAAATTGAGTTTGACTCCGCTGCCCTAGGCAATTCCATAAAATCATAAGTTGCAAAGAAAGTGAAGCCCTGTCTTAACAAAGGGAATTTCCTCAATGAGAGTTTACCCATGAAAGCACACATCCAGTTCCTATCTCTGAGGGTTGAATTAAATATAGGATGATGGATAGGACAATTTAATGATCCTTAAAGCTCCACAGGCCAACAGTTTGGCTTCACCATGGACCTAATAATTATTAACAGCATTAGTAGTCAATTATCAGACTAAGCATGGAATAGTATTGCTTTCAACCAAAATATGCTTTTATTAATTACTCTACTCAAATTTTCAAAGATCACGAGAACAGGCCCTACAACCTTCTGAGGCAACCCATTCTACTTTTGAATAGCTGCAATTTTTACAAAGTATGTTGTAACATCTAGCCTAAATTGCCTTTCTGCAACTTTTATTCTTCACTCTGAGAAAACTTAATTTCTTTTGTATATGACAAGCCTTCAAAGACTTACAGACTATCCCATAATAAGTTTTTTCTTCTCCTGACTATTATCATCACCTCTGTTTTAACCTCTGTCTGTTTCAGTTTCCTCACCTGTAAAATGGAGATTATAATAATAATGCATGACACTCAGGGCTGTTATAAAGATAACATGAGATATTATTTATAAAGTTCTTTGTAAACTTTAAAATGACATATAAATGCTAGTTGTTGTTGTTGTTGTTCTCTTCTCTGCTGGAATGATCTTTACTCTTGTTACCATCCTGAATGCTCTCATCTGGTCAACCGTTCAGTTTATCAGTTGATTTCCTTCCTCAAATGTATTACCTAGACCAACTACAAGATTGCAGATGTAATCTTCAGAGAAGAGAATACAAGAAAGTAATCATATTCTTTGTAACCATGGGTCTCTTAATAGGGCCTAAGATTTTTTCAGACACCGTTTTGAACTACTGCCTCATTTTTAGCTTACAGATCTATAAAACTCTAAGATCTTTTTGAAATAAATCTAGACCAGCTTCTTTTTTTTAATGTTATGTTTAAAACCCAAGTGTGATATGTTACATTTATTCCTATTAAATATCGTATGTAAAAGTTGCTTCCTAGTAACTTCAGCAAAATTCTAAGGTCAGAAAGGAAATGCAAAGGGGAAAGTCTTCAAATTAAAAAAAAAAAGATGTGGCCCCTCACCCCCTTCCCACCTTAGAAAGTATCTGAGAATTGAATATGAGCTATTCAGTTCAATTGCCTATGAAGAGGCCAGCAAGACAATGACTCAACTCTAGATTAAAAACTGCATTCATACCTTTGTCCTGGCCACTTTCTGACCTATATCCAAGAGGAGGACAAGAAATTTATACTTTTATTTTACATACTGCAACTCTGCTGAAGTTGTTAATTATTTCAACTAGCTTTTTAAAGTAGATTTTCTAGGATTCTCCAAATGTAACATCATATCATCTGCAAAAAGTGATAGTTTTGTTTCCTCATTGCCTATTCTAACTCCTTCAATTTATTTTCCTTCTCTTATTGCTATAACTGGCATTTCTAGTAATATTGAATAATAATGGTGATAATGAGCAACCTTGCTTTATCATTGACCATATTAGGAAGGCTTCTAACTTATCTCTATAACAGATAATGCTTGCTGATGGTTTTAGATAGATACTAATCATTTTAAGGAAAGCTCCATTTATTCTATGCTTTCTAGTGTTTTTAAGAGGAATGAGTGCTCTTTTTTTGTCAAAACTTTCTTCTGCATCTATTGAGATAATCATATGATATCTGTTGGTTTTGTTATTGATATGGTTAATTACGCTGATAGTTTTCATAATATTGAACCAGTCCTGCATTGTTGGTATAAATAACACCTGGTTATAATATATGATGGTTTAGCAATTTCATCAGGAAGTTCTTTCAATACCTGGCATGTAATTTATAATTATTTAATATCTTATCATCATAGATCGAGAGGTGGAAGGAATTTCAAAGGCCATCTAGATCAAGGGTATTTAACTTGGTGATTGTGACATTTTCCCCTCTATTTTATTACCCATTTTAATATAACTGCTTTCCTGTGCAATCTTACACATTTCATTTTATTTACTTCAAAAATTATTCTAAAAAGTCAATAGTTTTTACCAGAATTCAAAAGGGGTCCATGAGACAAAAGTATTTAAGAAAATCTGCATCTGATCTAGTCCACTGATTCTCCCTGCCCCACCTCCCCACTTCTTAGCATTTTACAGATGATATCACTCAGGCCCAGGGAGGTTAAATGACTTCCCTATATCATGCAGGATAAAAGTTTAAAAAGCAAAATGTGAATCAAAATCCTCTGACTCCAGACCTAGTTTTCTTGCTATAATTCCATGATAACAATTAGGTCAATTAGGAGTATAGCTAGGTTATCTTACAATTTTCTTAATTATCTTGGGCATCTTATTATTTTCTAACTTTTCTTAGGCACATGATATCCAAGTATTAAAAGGATTGATATATGGAAGAGTGACTAAACTTTGTCTGTTTGGTCCCAGAGGGTAAATCTAGAAATTGTGGGTAGAAGAAGTTTCAAAGCCAGATTTAGGCTCAAGGCTAGTAGGGGAAAATCCTAAAACTAATTGTTTCTTAAAGGTAGAATTGGCTACCTAGGGAAGTAGTGGGATCCCAGGAGGCTTTCAAGCTAGCAGAGGTTTGACCACCACTTTGTTGCTGTGCAGTCAAGGGAATCCCAGCTCATGAGAGAATATCTAGATGACCCCTGTGTTCCTTTCCTACTCCGAGATATTGGTTGTTATTCCTCTTCTCACTTACCTTTTCTGTGTTTTCTCTACTTTATATCACAGAATTTGGTTCTTTTGCTCTTCTAGCACCCAACCACACCTCTACTCGCCCTATGACCTTCCTGCTGACTGGTATCCCAGGGTTAGAAGCAGCACATGTATGGATCTCCATCCCCTTTGTCCTTATGTACCTTCTGGCACTGGTGGGCAATACTCTGGTGATGGTGGTGGTAGCTGGGGACCGAAACCTCCATAAGCCCATGTACCTCTTCTTAGCCATGTTGGCACTCAATGATATCATCCTCTGTACAGTCACTGTGCCCAAAATGCTTGTTATCTTCTGGAGGGGCCCAGCTATCTCCACTTTTGCAGACTGCCTTACTCAAATGTTCTTCGTTCATGCTTTGTTCCTCTCAGAATCAGCTGTGCTCCTTGCCATGGCCTATGACCGCTACGTTGCCATCTGTACACCACTCCACTATACTTCTCTACTGACTACATCTATCATTGGAAAGTTAGGGCTGGCCCTGGTGTCCCGGAGTGTGATTGTAGTCATTCCTGGTGTTCTCCTTATCCTTCATCTGCCCTTTTGCCGGACCAATGTCATCCCTCACACTTACTGTGAGAACATGGGCATAGCCAAGCTGGCCTGTGCCAGTATCACACTCAACAGCGTCTATGGACTTACAGCAGCTTTTCTCACCACAGGGATGGACTTCATCCTCATTGCTATTTCATATGGGCTAATCCTCCGAGCAGTGCTGGGACTGTCCTCACGTGAAGCCCGAGCAAAGGCCTTTGGGACATGTGGGACACATATTTGTGTTATCCTAGTTTTCTACACATTGGCCTTCTTTTCTTTCTTCACCCACCGCTTTGGTCCCCATGTTCCCCATCATGCCCATATCCTCTTGGCCAACCTTTATCTGCTGGTGCCCCCTACAATGAACCCCATCATCTATGGGGTGAAGACCTCAGAGATACGAGTGCGTGTACTAGGGCTTTTTCACCTGATGAAGTCTTCTTAAAAGAGATGTATGATGGTTCAGGGGAACCCAGTGTAGATTCTCTGCATGGGACTTCTTACACAAATCTATTATGTGGGCTCATCCTCAAGATGTCAAGCCACACCCAGTGCCAAGAGGCCATAGCTCCAGAAAAAGAGAAAGAAATTTTACTGAACATGAGCTCTAGAGATGCCCAGTCTGGTTAGCACAAACAGCACAGGTTATAGTGTCAGAAGACTTAGGTCTTAGATTCAATTCTTTCATTTGTAAGCTGGGTGGTCTATGGACTAGAGGCACTTTACTTTTCCGACTTGCTTTCCTAATTGTAAAACAGTATCTTAGAATAACTTTGGGCACATAAAATTCATTCTTCCTAGTCAAAATTTCCAATGTTTCTTTCTTTTATTTGTAAAGGAAGAATCTATCTTTGTGACTCGTGGGGTTAAATCTGTGGTGAGACGTTGAACGTAGTTAATCTGAAACATATGTATTGGACTGTGTCCCACTGAATAAGGAAGGAGTCAGTGATGTAGGGAAAGAGGGAACCATTGATTCCCCCATAATTCTGGTACCTTCTCTTTATATCTCCAGTTTTATCCTGGGTATAGCTTATTTGTATGTAATTATTTTCATGTTTTTTCCCACTTTACATATGAGGCCTTGAGAGCAGGGACTGTCTTTTTTCTTTCTTTATATCCTCAGAGCTTAGACTAATGCCTGGCATACTGTAGGTGGTTAATAAGTGTTTTTTGAGTGACTGATTAAACAAATGGCAATGACTGGATAAGACCAATGGCCACGCAGGAGGTGATGGCCATTCCTTATTTACTGATACTGTGAATTGAATTTTGAAATTAACCAACTGACTTAAGGCCTATACTCAGAAGCTGAATGTAACTGACCTTGTGCAGAAAATGCTGGGAAGAATCTCCATTCCTGGAATATCAAGAGGAACAAGCTCATAATTTGAGATCTAGACCTGATCACAATTAGAGAGGATGTTGAAAGTTAGGAGAACCTGGGACTCACAAGGCAGACACATGCACCAGTTTAGAAGTTGTACAGATTTAAGTCATGTATTCAGTATGTTTTAGCCCTCGTTACCTGCTATGGTGTCCAGACCCCTGGTGTTGGATTTAGAAAGTCTGACTGAGTAATAACTCTGAAAATTGTTATCTACATGAACCTGGAAAACCTCTCTGAACTCAGAGGTTTGCTCATCTGTAAAATGCTGATGTTATTTGTACTACCTATCTGTGGAATTTTTTTGTTTGTTTTGTTTTGGGATTTTTTATGACATAGTTTTTTTAAATTTTTTTCATGTAGCTGTGTGTCTATTCTTTAGATATTTGTTTGTTCTTCTAAAAATTTCCCTACCCCACACTTGATCACCTGTATATCTTTTGGCTGACACTCTTTTTGTGATATCAAGGATGAAAAATCAGTCCAACTTCTAAGTACCTGATTCTTTTCCAATAAAAAACAGAACGCTTTCTTATGCCATTAAACTCCTGAGCTATGCTCCTTCCTTGGCCTTTATGTGAAGGTGTCAATTTCTGCCTGAGTTGTATCCTTCTCATGTTGTCCCTGTTTCTGTGCTCCTAGCCAGAGCTATTGCTTTAAGCCTTAAACTTTTTCTAATGTGGATGTACCACACTAAAACCCTATTGTTTTCATCATTTATAGACAGCCTGTTTCTTTTATGAAACCTCCTTGAAGTCTCCAAATCACCGTTAACAGATTACTACACTACCTTTAAAACGTTAGACGTACATTTAAATACAATTGGTATTTTGAATAATATTTCCTTGTATTTTCTATTATTCATAGATTAAATTCTCCCTGGTTTAAAAAGAAAAAATGACAACTACCTATAAGAAGAACACCTAATCTCAATTGTGAAGGGATTAAAAGAACAGGGATAAACAATAGATTAAGGACATCTGGAAGCAGTGGCAGAGAAGGAATGAATATAAAATATAGGGCTAACATTGTGCAATGACTAACGGTGATAGACTTAGCCCTTCTCAGCAATGCAAGGATCTAACACATCTCCAAAGGTCTCATGAAGGAAAATGCTATCCACATCCAAAGAAAGAACTACGGAGTTTTAATGTAGCTTGAATCATACTATTTGCTATTTTTCTCTTCTGTTTTGTTTTGTTTTCTCTTTCTGGTGGTTCCTCCTATTGCTTCTAAGTCTTCCTTACAACACCAGTAATGTGAAAATATGTTTAATAGGAATGGATATGTATAGCCTATATCAGGTTGTGTGCCATCTTGGGGAGGGAGGAGGGAGAGAGGGAAAGAAAAATTTAAAACTCAAAGCTTACGGAAGTGATTGTTGATAAATCAAAATAAATTAATAAAAAAAATCATGAAATGTAGGGCTAACCAGTAAATCTTCAGACTAATCCAAATGAGATATGGAAGGGGGTAAAACCTAACTACTCTCCGGAGATTAGGAATGAATATCTTTTAGATCTGGACAGCTGTGGGCAGTGACAATAGTCCTGTAGAAGCCCATGTTCCATATAAATTCATATCATTCTATGTCTTCCCCCATACTGCTTTTTATCTCTCCAACTTCCTTCCACTCCAGCCTTCTGAGTTGGCTCTCTCCTATTATTCTACTAGCTTTTGATCTTCTACCCCATCTTGGAACCTTTCCCAACTAAGATGTCACTACTTACCCTGTTGGAATACTCTTTCTGAAGAACACAATTTACATGAACACATTTATTATATGTGATGTAAATAGTCTTGCGGTATAGCTAATTGAATTTTGTGCTTTGAATGTCCATTCTTTTTTCTGAGTTCTCTCAACATCGAAATATGAAGCTTGGTTCAGGGTTCCATTTGTACATATGAACAAAATAAAATTTTTGATGATGGCGGTGGGAAGGGGTTAGGATTTGTAAGGTTTCTTTCAGATACATTGTATTGATCTATGATGACAACTATGGCACACTGATTTGAAGAATTATGAGGAAGAAGTAAAAGATGTGGAGAAATTGCTATCATTATGCTAATGAATCACTAAATACTGTCTTTATATGGAAGTTGGATTTTTTTTTAAATGTTATAGAGGGGTCCCCAGTTTAAATATGGATTGGACTTCTCTCATTAAGAGATCTAATCTCTTGGAGATCTGTCTTCAAGAGATTCTGAAATTCTTTGATCCAGTGGTGATGGTAATGATTTAACTGCCATCCTTTAGCACGTGGCCAACTGGCATTCCTTCATCACAGCTCTGATCACGTCTTTCTCCTACTCAGTAATGTCAAATGACTCTGTATTATTTTTAGAGTCAAATATACAAACTCCTTCACAATCTAAATCCAATCTATTTTTCTGGAATTATACATTACTCTCCTTCACTCACTTTATGGTCTAGTGGCCAAACACGTCCTTGCACCAATCATCATCATCATCATCATCTTTTATGTAATGCTTTAAGGTTTTCAAAACATTTTATAGATTTTATCACATTTTGTCTTCATAACAATCCTGGGGGATATGTGCTACTATTATCCTCATTTTATAGTTGACAGTCAGCCAGCCAGCCAATAAATATGATCTTCCCTGTGAGTATTAAATTTAATAAGACAGTAACAAAATTATCCTATTTCTTCTTTTGGTAATTTTTTTTTATTATTTTCAACTTAAATACAAAATGAGAAAAGGAAAAAAATTGGCACAGACACAGAAGAATATAACAGAGCATTCAATATAAAACAATAAATTTCCACGTCAAGAAAACCTATATAATAAATACTACATGTTGTTTTCAAAGCTGCCCAGCTTTCCTTTGTTTCCTTGTAGGTTTTCTTTTGTTCTCTCCTGTGTACCTTTTATTTTAATTTTTCCCCTCCTTTACCCTACCCCACCCTAAAGAAAGCTATGATAAAGCATGGATATAGATTGACAGACAGACAGACAGATAGATAGACAGATATCCATATTAGATAGATAGATAGACAGATATCTGTGTATGTGTATACACACATATACATATATATAGCAATCTATAAACCTAAACATATATGCACATCTATACTCATACATATTTATGTAAGACCGTACTATGCTTATTTTCACTTGTCATCTGTTTCTCTGAAGATGGGTAGCATCTTCCTTCATAAGTCCAAGTCTTTCCATGTTTTACTAAACCAAACAGCTGATCATTTCCTAGGTCACAGTAGTATTCCAACCCTATCACATCCTATCTGAGAGACTGTCTATGAAAGTTTCTTTTTCTTCCAATTTCCTGTATTCCTTCTATTCTTGGCTCCATAGTTTTTATTTATACAAGAAAATTTTAATTTAAAGTAATCAAAATTATTCATTTTACACTTTAACAATGCTCTCACTTTACAGTATAGTTTAAGGTCTGATACTACTGAATCTGCTTCCTTTACATCTTCCCTGCTTCCCAGTTTATTTTAAGTTCTTTACCTTTTGTTCTTCCAAATGAACTTTGTTATTATATTTTTTTCTAACTCAGTAAGATATTTTAAGTAATTTAATTGGGATAGAATTAAATAAATATATTAGTTAAGTAAAACTGCCATTTTTATTATATTGGCTTTATCTACTCATGAACAATAAATATTGGTTCAATTATTTAGATCTGACTTTATTTGTATAAAAAGTGTTTTATATTCATATAGTTCCTATGTCTGTTTTGGCAGGTATACTCTAAGGCATTTTATACTGTCTAGTTATTTTAAATGGTCTATAACAATATTAATATTGCTGACTCACAGAATAGTTTTTCTATTTTTCTCTTTTTATTAAATCTATTTTAGCTTTAACTTTGACATGATTTCTACCTCTGCTTTTTTACATATTAAATTCTACTCCTGCCTTATATTTTATCTTTGTGTGTATCTCTCATCTTTATTGTTTCATGAAAGCAACATATTTTTAAATTAAAAATTTTAATCTGCTATCCATTTCCATTTTATGGGTAAATTCATCCCATTCACATTTTAAGCTATAACTACTTATATATTTCC